TTAAAAGAGTTTCAAAAAAAAAAATTTATTTTTTGGAAAAAAAGGTTTTTTTTTTTTTTTTTTTTTTTTTTACCTTGAATTAAATTTTATTTTATTTATTTATTTTTTTTCAGTTTTGGCTTAATTACTTAATTACAAATGGTCTTTTTTTAAAGTCTGAATATCATAGTTTACGATTAATCAATTACTAATTATTATTTCAAAAATTGATTAATCGTAAATCATCGAGATTAATCCGATTAATCGTTTCCCCTCTCTTCTGTCTAATCTTTATTGGATGTTTCAGTAACAGTTACCGCACATGAACAAAACTTTCTGCAGTTTTAAGCAGCTTAACGTCTGGGAGACGAGCAGAAAATTTCTGATGCCCCTCGATGGAAATACAATTTTAACTTCAAAGTCACATCTCCTTGCGAAAGTCGTTACTTTTGCACATTTTGTCAGGTTTTAAACTGAAAACTCTCGTGTGAATTACTCTGACACCTCTAAATAAAATACGGTGCAACAAGTTGCCTTCACATCCATCTGTGTGTAATTTAATCTCAATAATCATCTCTCATTATGAAACATGGTGACGGCAGCATCAAGTGGAGATGCTTTTTTTTCCTTTTATCTTGTGGTTGTAACGTCATAAAATTAGGAAAAATAAGTAAAAGTCAACCATGTCATCCTTTCCTCACAGCTCCCTAACACTGCGCCACAGAGCGGCTAAAGTTGGCTAATGCTACGACGGCGACCGGCGAAACCACGGCGACGACTCACAGGGAAAGATCCTCGGCCTCCTGCCTCATGATGCTGACTCTGCTTTTCTTCGGCAGGGCAGGCGAGTTCTGGTCGCTGATCTTCTGGTAAAACAGCATGTAGGCGTTCCAGTACCTCCGTCGCACGTCGGGGTAGGGGTTGGCTGAAAATCAGGTTTCCTCAAATTATTCATCGTCATACAAGACGTTCTACTGAAAAACAAAAAACGAATGAAAAGGATCAGCAGAAACTTACACTGGTCGTAGACCTTGGGGCGATACTCTCCGCCAAAACACTCGTACTCCAGAGTCTCGTCGTTCATGTCAAACTCCTCCACTACGTTGTCGTTGAATTTATACCAGCGCCCACGAGCGTTTCCGCTGCAGGAAGCAAGCAAAATAATAAAAAAGTACAAATAATCACAAGGTCTTTTTTTGCACTAAAATATTTCTAATCAAAATACTACATTTGATTAGAATTTAATTGCACTACTTAATGCATAAAGCTGTATATATTTATTATTTTTTATACTGCTTCGATACGCGTAGATACTATTGACACCGTTTTAACTGTAACACAATCACATGTTTCCCTGCCAAATATATATTTTTTAGTAATATATGTTTTTATTTTATTTTACTCTTTCTTCATTTTATGGAGAAAAATCATTGCGGTTAAGACAAACTCATGTTTAAAAGGATCTGCATGTAATCCTCAGCCATCTGTGGCCTCTTTATCATCCACTACCCCGATCAGCGTTGTTGTCTTCCAGAGCCAAACATCTGGAGAGGTTTACAACCCACACGAACGCTGACGGTGCGTTCAGGCGGGACTTTTTAAACTCTGCCACCACCAGAGCCTCACCGTCTGTCTTTTATGAAGGAGTAGTAGTGTCCTGCGTGCGCTTGGCCACTGTGGACCACAACGCCCACGAGTTCGTAGTTCTCTGAAATTGTAACTTTCTTCCTGGGGGATCCTCCCGAGGAGCCGTCGCCTCGTCCCTCGGCCCCGTCCCCGCTGCAGTCCTGCCGGGCCATCCCGGACACGGTGTAGGGCTCCATGTTCAGCACCCAGGGGAACTGGAAGGGACACACAGCCACCAACTCAACTTTAAGACTTTTTAAAGACCGTCATGAGTGAAAGTTAAGACAGTTTAGGTGACGACATGCTTTTAATCTTCTTCCTTCTCCTTTTCTTCTCCTCCAGCTGTATTTCTCTCCATCGTGACAACTTTGTTGAAATAAAATTCTTCAATAGGTGCTTGACCATCGTGTTTAATAGGTGTCAGATCTCTGACTTCAGAGTTTGTGTCGCACAAAAAGCTGCTTTTAGATCAGTGCCAGTAGCAGCAGCACTGATAGTCTCCTGGGAAGCCGTAGCCACGCCACAGGCACAAAACCGTGATATTTCTGCGGTCTGCTTGTCACTACTGGCAGCAGATTAGTTCTTCTCACACTACAGGCTTAACCCCTGTAGTGCAAAGCTTTTTGCACAGAATGCACTTAGCATTGCATGGGCTGGCAACAGAAGAGAGCCGGTGGCAATAAACCTGCACTTATCCATGATGGATGCAAAAAAGAAGTTAGCTAGCTACCATGGGATATTAGCAGCTAATTAGCAGTAGCCTCAACAACATTAAGTCACAGGATGCAATGAAAATATCTGTGGGTGACTCAAACTTTTGCCCGACAGAAAAATAAACAAGGTTACATAATCCTACCACGACAAAAATTTAAGATCTGTGTTCAACATTTTTAATATACATGAATTTAAGACATTTAAGGATGCAAAAATTTCAAGTTGAAGATTCCCGGTGGTAAAATCAAAAGAAGTAAAAAAAAAAAAAAAGTCTAAGACGCCTTTTTAAAGTAAAAAAATAAAAAATAAAAATAATAAAAAAATCTTGTTACCCTGATCTGCTCGTCGTATTTTATGGATCGCCCGCTTTCCCAGTCGAAGCCGAATCGCATGAGGTGGATACAGAGAACGCTGGGTAGAGATTTGATGCATGTCCTCTTCACTGTGGTTCTCTGCACAGACAAGAGACACACACACACGCACACACACACGAACACAAACCTTTCAGCATCTAGAAATACTGCAGAGTCAATGAGGCCAGGGCGAAACACCAACCTTCTCCTTGCACTTTTCACAGTAGTACGCGTTGCTGCCCTCCAGCACCTCTCCTCTGACAAACTGGTCTAATGAGATCTCCAAACTCTGACAGGAAGTCACACCGAGGTTCAAGGCCATGAACGTTTCCTCACGCTCGTATCTGCGGAAGGAAACATTAATAAACATCTCAAGCACCAAAAAGAAAATCTCGTAAAGACAGAGATTGCGCCTCCAACCTGTGCGGACAATCTTTACAAATCTTCTGGTCGGAATAAATTCCCTGAAATGTGTTTTTGAAGATTTGCTCCCGGCCCATTTTCTGGAGGAAAGACGTTTTTGAGAGTTAGGTTGTTCAAAAGGTGAATACGTTGTAGATTTTTTTTTGCTGGTTCTTCTGTCGAGTTCTGATGCTGCGTGTGGAGTACCTTGAGATGTTCGTCGAGCTGGTCCACCAGGCTGGTGAAGAACTCGTAAGCGTCCTGCTGCTCTCTGACGTACAGCTCCTTGTTCCACATCTTGAAGATCTGCAACGGGTTTGGACGTCAGCGTGTGTCGACCGAGAGCAGGAAAACCCGATCTCCGGCGTAACCGTTACCTTCCAGAAGTTCTCTGGCACGTAGTACTGCAGCTTGCTCTCCATCAGGTGGCCGAACAGCGACTGGACCTGGTAGAAGACGCTTTCCTCAGGCTGGTCTGTGTCGTCCTCGATGGACAGGAAGGCCTTCAATGCAACGCAAACACGGGTCGCGGTTTGAAACGAACTTCGCTGTGCTGGCATGACATTTAAAACGGCCGAGGAAGAAGGGTCAGCGTACCTCGGGCAGGCCGGGCTGCATGTAGAGCTGCTGGAACACGGCGTTCATGTAACACGTGGCGCCGCCATTTTTCAGTCCGACGAAACCCGAGACCGACCGGCTCTCCACGGGAGGCAAATACTGGCGAGAGACGCGAGTTACAAGGTGAATGTAAGCAAGTAGTAACCTCCCCCCCGTTCCCCCGAGTGTTTTTCGAGCGGCCATCTTACGTCAAACTCCTTGCAGAGCGACGGATCCGACTGGTGGTGCATGGACAGGAGCTCCTTGGTGATGAGCCGCAGGTTGGAGAGCGAGCTGTCGGCCAGCATCACCAGGACCTCGTAGGCTGCCAGTCTGCTGCTGGCCGTGCTGCACCTGATCATACACACACCTTTTAGTTTTACTGCTGATTCTCAGGAAGGCTACGTGCAACTAACACATATCTTAGAAATTAGTAATTCTATCAATTAATTGGATTAAAAAAAAAAAACGCGACACATTCTACAGATTAGAAATGCAAAAAAATGCAAATGAGCAAATAATTCAATTCAATTTTTAAATGAGAAAATGAAAATGTTATTCCCTAAAATGCAATCAAATAGCATTTCTTTAGTGTATGCGTGATCATTTTTGCTCCTGTCTTCCGTTACTGCAGCATTTCATTTGTTTACGTTGCTTTTCTGTTGCCTTTTTTGTTTTTCGTTCTTTACGTGTTTGCAGCTCGTTTCTCCATTTACTGCACGTTTGCACCTTTTTTTTTTTTTTTTGCCATTTTTGTCATAACAACAGTCAACAATAACAAATACAGACTGTGAAATTAAACGTGTGAAGTACATGGTGATTTGTTAGGGGGTGTGTGGTTTGTCAGATCAGAGCCCAACATGAGCTCTGCTGCCAACTAGTGGCGAAACATGTAATTTCATGAAAAATAAATGAAATTTCAACCCAAAGGCTTAGATTGACAACTTAGTCAAATGCATCACTTCTGTAATACCAGCAAACAGGCTTTCGATGCATATTTCCTTCTTTTCTTTGTTAGTTCTTACCTGCTAATCTTAGTTTCTGGTGCTTTTTCTGAGGACTGCTGAAAGCTAATGGAGATAAACAGCTGCTGCAGGGGTTCTGACAGAGTTAGGGGTTTGAACACCCACAAAAAAATTAAATAACATAAATTACAAGGTTGACCCTAATTATACCTCAAAGTAATATGCTGAGGTAGTACTGTCAGATTTTTATTGGAACACGTCCGATTGGTAGATTTGCTTTCAGGCTGGATGGAGATGGTGGCAGTTCTTAATTTTTATCTAATAAAAGTTCAGACAATCACCAATCAGAGCCAGTTATTGGAAAAGTCAAATCAAATATATCGATGTGAAATGAAAGGGTTAGTCTACAACAAATAAGTTTCTTTTACCCTCATTTTTCCTTTGTTTTTTGTCAGTCAACAAAAAAAGAAGAAGAAGAAGGAAGAAATCTAACTAATTTTCATACTTGGGGTGGAAGTCGTGGCTCGGGGCTGGAGAGGGCGTCGGGTTGGAGCTGTTGATGATGATACGAGACGCTCGAAACAGGAAGTCATCGAGCAGCTGCTGGATCAGAGACGGACCTGGAGAGGAAGAGTTTCAAAACGTCATGTGAAACACTGAACTGCAGACGAGCGTCGCTGGGGCACAGAGTCCACTAACCGAGGTGTTCTTTCTCATTTCCGCACAGAGAGAGCAAAGTCTTGATGAGTCGGAGGTGTCCTGCCAGCAGGATGTTGTCTGCCTCGCTGGTCTCCATCTCCGAGCTCCAGCTGGGCTCAAAGTTGTCGAGCCAGGAAATCTCGTCCTCCAGCATGTTGGCCGCGCTCACTTTCAACACCTCCATCTCTGAGGCTGAGGCAGATCGGGAGAGATAAGCAAGTAGGGAAGGTTTCGATCATAAATTCTTTCATCTGGTAAAAAAAAAATAAACAAAACAAACAAAAAAATGCTTTTTTGTTTTGTTTTTCTTCTTAGTCTGATGGAAGTCACTTACAGGTAAGGTCATCCAGAAGCTGGCATCTCAGGTCAAAATACTCAGTGCACTGGGAGAGTAACCTGAGGAAAAGGAGTCAACGTGAGACAATTAATCGGATTAATCATGATTAATCGGATTAATCAAATCCGATTAATCGTTAACAGTATACTCAAAAAAAGGCCAGTTGCTGAAAGAACAGCAGGCTCAGAACAGCAATTGTACAAAATGTACAAAAAAAAAACAAAAAAAAAACAAACAAACATTTTGAATTTGATAAAAAAAATAAAAAACAAACATTTGTCTGTAAATATGTTTTAAGTAAAACTCAAGTGGGAATTTTAGCTTCACCTGGTTTAAATAATGTAACATAAACAAATTAATAAAATCTCCTACTAGGCACCTTTTGCTGTCCAATTATTAAATGGTTAATTCATAAAAATAATCAACAGATCGCCTCTATACTGTTTTGATGTATTTGCATGCCTTACATTTCAGGCAATAAAATGTTTATTTTCTTATTTAAAAAAGGAATTGAATTACTTATTTGCATCTTTTAACGCATTTCTAATATTACATAAAAAAAAGGATTAAGTAAAAATATGTGCAGAATATGTATTACCATCCTTTTACTCGTCAGAATAATAATAATAATAACAGATCAATTAATGACTAAAATAATCACTGGTTGCAGCCCTGCATTAAACGTCCACAGTGTTCTGAGGTTCTGTCTGCGTTTCTTGCTCTGGTACCTCTGGTTGACACCTCTCATGATGGACGTGGGGCTCCATAGCGGCAGCTGGGCGGTCAGGATGACTGAGAGCAGGAACAGGTTGGGTTTCTGGACTTCAGGGAAGGCCGAGGTGTCGGACTGACTCAGCGTGTACAGCTGATCGCAGGCCACGCGGCGGATCTGAAAGGAGGAGGAAGCAGAACTTTTATATGATCTCCTTTTTGGCGCAGAGACAATTTTTTCTTTTTTTCTTTCATTCTTTGAAGTTTCTTCAGAGCGCGGTTTACCTCGGCACTGGGAGAGCCCAGCAGGATATCGATAATGAAATCGCTGACAGAGGGAAGGGTGTAAAAGGAAGCTGTAGAGAGAGAAACAGCACAGCGTGTAAAGTCTCTTTTTAAAGCTGCCAAAGCCTGCAGCATCACAACTCAGTCCCCTCCAGGAAGATGCGAACTTCTCAAAGTGTTTTTTGCAAACCTTCTTGCAGGATCGGTTTCCAAAAAATGTCGTAAAACAGGAAGTAAAACTAGAAGGAGGGTAAGAGGACTGGCCAGAATTCAGCAGAGTTTGCAGTCATTGTTCAGGAAAGAAGGAAACAGAAAAATTGCAGCATTTACGAACAGTGAGAGTGAACTTGCATTAATGGCTGCGATTGCATCTTCAAGGAGGGACTGAGATAATGCACTGGAGCCTCTTACACATCTGCTGGCAGCGTAGCTGCAGACAGGTAACCAGTAGCGACAGAGCCTCGCGGGCGATGATGGCGTCCTTGATGGAGACGCTCTGCTGCCGGACGCATATACCAGCATGCAGCGCCGTCGGGGTGGCCTCGCCTTCACTGCTGGAGCTGCAGTTGCTCCCTGCAGAAGCATGAGCAACAGTATCACAAAACGTGCTTATCAGACTTACTGAGACACATTTCTTTTTAATAATTTTCCTCCCCACCAGTGCTGCTGACTCTGGTGCGGACTCCCTGCGGCAGCAGCGAGCCTTGGGTTTCTCTGATTGGCTGCTGGCTGCCAACGAGGTCCAGTCGGCCCGCGGCGGCAGCCCAGGTTAGACGCATGAAACAGGCTACGGTGGAGGTGAAGTCCCCGACTTCCATGGTCTGGACAAGCATCGGGGAAAAAAAGTGGACTTAAAGAAAACTGCATTCTGTGCGACAAAATACGCTTTTTTTTTTCTTTTTCCTCGGGGAAATGGTTTCAGTCCAGCACCTGAATGGCAACGCGAGCGGCAGGAATGATCTCCTCCACCCGTATGGACGAGCGCTCGGACAGAGACATCTGCCGGTAGGAGGACTTCTCTGGAGTGCCGCAGAGTGACAGCTGCCGACCCGTCCGGCCCGCGTTACGGAACGGCCGGGACGACAGTGCGTCACCGTCCCTGATGACGTCATCGTCCAGGGCCATCGGCATACTCTGACCAACCAGGAGGAACCTGCAAAAACATAAAAGTCTGATGGTTTAGCCAGAAAGTGATGCTACAAAATAAAGCGTCACATGTATCAACAACACATAATTACATAAGCTTTGAGTTAAGATGGGTAAGGATGCAGCTTTTTGTTTACAGCATGTCAGCAATGTTGTTGGAGACACGCTTAGGATCCATTAGCGCTGAAACGATTAATCAAATTAATGGTGATTAATCAACTACTGAAATAATCACCAGCTAATTTAGTAATCGATTAATCATTAACTGGAATATACAAACTCTTAAGAAAAAAAACTATTTGCTTAAAGAACAACACAGTCAGGAATGTTAGCGTCACCTAGTTCAAATTCTGTAAAAGCAAGCAAAAACAAAACAAAACCTTTTTTGCAGTCTAATTATTAATCTAAAAAAAATAAACAGGTGAGTGCAGTATATTTTGTAGCTGCAGATGCATTCTGTGCTACAGATGATCAAGCGTTCACAAATACAATGCATTTTAGGTGATGAAAAAAAAACCTCAAATAATTTAATTATTTGCTTATTTGCATCTTTTAATGCATCCCTAATATTGCGTAAAAAAAAGGCTTATGCGTTAAATTGAAAATCTGCAGAATGTGCTGATTTTTTAAAATCTGATTGAATGATTAATCATCAGAACAATCATAGTACAATGTTACAACCAAAGCCTTCAGTCTGTTTAACTCTACTGCAACAGGAATCAAGCTGTAGAGAGATCTACAGTCTGGGTGGGAAAATATGTTGACAACTAGCTGGATTTATGGAGGAGTGGGATGACAGCCATTGTTGCAGAAGACCCATAAGAAGAAGTCTGGAATGTAAAACTTAAAAACTGTTGTTTACAGATCATAATTTAATCTGAGCTGAAATTTGATGAAAAAAAAAAAAAACATGTTCATTTTCCCACTATTTAACGTTTGTGCACTATGTGGTGAGACAAAATGAATATGACAAAAATGTCTACGCTGTCAGTTTCAAGAACTTTGCTAAAAAAACAAAACAAAAACAAAGCAAAGACAGGGAAAAAATGAAATGGAAAAAGGTTGAAACCCTGACAAAACGGGTTTTAATGTGCTGGGCCTGTGTGAAAAATATTTTGACAGGTTCCCTTCACCTGGCCAGCTGAAGGCAGATGGAGTTGACTCCTTGTCGGGTCTCGTAGTCCACTTCAGATGGGATGGAGTCCCTCTGCATGACGTTCACCACCAGACTGCAAGCGAAACACGGAAACATCAGGACCGAAAGCGGCAAAAACACGGCGACTAACACAGCCTGACTGACGGCCGCGGAGTGAAAAGCAGTTTTTCACCTGAGGCCTCCTGCTTTGAGGAAGTTTTCACAGAAGGACTTGCTGCTGGTTTTGGCCATCTCGTCGTCCGACGTTGGCATCAGCTTCGAACTCAACACCTAGACAGACGACGAAACGATGAAGGCGACCCGAGGTTTGAACTGGGGCTCGCTTTGAGGAGCGGATGCCCGCGTACCTCCAGGTTGTAAAGCACTCTGAAGGTGGACATGCCGGGCGCAGAGGATCGGAAAAGCGACTCCAAGATGGACGCGGCGCTGGGCTGATGCTGCTGTTTGGGTGTTACGGATGGAGAGCGAGAGCCCGAACCCTGGCCGAGGGTGAACAGGGTTTTCTGCAACAGACGAGATGAAAACTAGAGCAGAGGTCTTCACGGGTGTGACGATCGGATGTGATCAGACGCCTTCAGGTACCTGGTGGCTCCAGACGCTGGATTCTTTGGGAACGAAGTTGTCGAGTGCGTCCTGCACTTCGGGGTCTGTTGGAATTAGCAGCAGCAGCTTCCTCACACGGAGGATGATCCTACGGGTTGAAAAGAAAAATAACAACTAAAAGCAAAAAACAGAAAGAGACTTGACTTTCTGTTTCCATAACTTGCATTCTTATGCCATTATCAATATATCACCTACTAAACATAATGCATTATTAGTTGCATTATGCTTAAAATGCATATTTTTAATGGGATGGTGTTGCTATGTAAAGTCTGGCTAAATTTCTTATTACTTTGTTCTAAATTTATAAGATGAAAACATTGTGACTTTAAGCTACTGTTACATATTTGTGCAAAAAAAAAAAAAATAATTTCCAATGAGATAAAAGATTAAGGAAACACCTGATGTGGGTTATTTTGTTGTTGTTGACGATAACTCTGGTGATATTCATCATCTCACCTTGGCTCTTCAAGGTTAGCCAGCTGGTAAAGCATCTCAAACACATTGCACACCAAAGCCATCACCACCCCAGGGAGGGACTTCTCCTGATGATAAAAGAAGACGCATCAGAGCTGATGTTCTCCTCTGTGTGTGTGTGTGTGTGTGTGTGTGTGTGTGTGTGTGTGTGTGTGTGTGTGTGCGTTCGTATGTTCACCTGCTCCAAGGCGTAGGCCGAGTTGAAGACGGCAGAGCTGGAACTGCTGGAGGCCGAGGCCGACGACTCCGAGCTGCCCGAAGGAGTCCCGGTGCCGGAGCTCTTCACCGTCAGGCTCTGCTCGTCGCTGAAGCCGAGCTGCGAGAGCAGCTTCTGGTCTCGGTTCATGGTCAGCTGACAGACAGAGAGAAGAAGAAAGTCAGCGAACGCGTAACGCGCAAAAACACGCTGAAGACCAGCCGAGCACGACGAGCAACGCCTACCACGCTATCATTGGCAAAAATCTGGACGTTATCCACCGGGCAGCTCAAGTGTTCGGAGATCTTCCAGCGGATGCTGCCTATCGTCTCGTTACTGTGAGTCTGCGGGGAAACACGGCACACGCTCAGTCGTGGAAGAAGAGACAAATTTCAAAATGGTGGAAATTGGGAGGTTTCTCCCTCCTCTGAGAATACCTCTAGGGTGAAGGTGTCTTTGGTTGACTCGTAGGTGATGTGGAGAGTGACGGGGTGTCCGTTGAAAGACGCCCCGTGAGGTAGAATGGTGCGAGGAAACGAGTACATGTCCTACGAAGAAACACAAAATATCCGGTTAGAGTTCAAAACAAATCGTTTTCCTCAAACACAGACCAACTGAGATCGCGGAGCAGGATTTTAATCTTGAGCGCTTGAGTTTTTAAGAGATGCACCGATCGGACGACTTGGTCGATTTCTGATGTTTTTGTCACACTCCAGGCGCAAAAATGGAGAGCTTTACAATTTTAAAATGGAAATCAAAACGGGATTTTGCATCTCATATTAGCAATTAGCGAAGTTGGAGTAGTTAGCATTGTCAAAGAAACAGAATGTAGAAAACAAATATTGAAATCTCAAAAAAAAAAAAAAAAAAAACAAAGCTCCTTTGCTGTAACACATTTGTGCTTCCTAGCATACCTCTATAGTGATGACATAGCGCTCAGCCAATAACAGCAGTCTTTCAATTATCACCAGCTTTGTGGATCTAGGAGTCAACAAACACAAAAGCAGCTCAGTAACACTTAAACGAGTATCTAACGTTAAAAACAGTGGCTTCATTTTATCATCACATAAACAAAACAAAAGAAAGAGATTGATGTTTTAGTAGGTTAAGTAGCTATGCTCTTACCCAAACCCCCCTCTGTACCTGGAAGGTGATTGTACAGACGTGGCTACCGTTGGCATGGCAGTGGCTGTCAGCATCTTTGTTGCCTTGGTAACAGCATGGGTTAGAGTGGGCCCGCCCAGGGCCGAGCTTGCGGCCTGGGGTAAAAGAAAAAAAAAAAAAAAGAAAGAGAAAAAGTAGAAACGTTCCGTTGGGTTTTGATTTCTAACAATTCTAAAATAAAAACTCGTTACGATTTTCAGGGCTTACCTCTAGCCGCTTGTAACAATCAGCAATGAACTTCTTGTGCAAAGAGACAGAATCCTGGAAGGTGGAAAAGTTGATAAGCGATGAGATGCAAGTTAAAATCAATTTCCAATCTTTGCCTTATTTTCAACGCGCCTGTTTTAGTAACTATGCTCTTTCTCTGTCAGTTTATACTGACGGGGAAAAAGCGGACGACACACTGACCTTCTTCATTTTTGGATTGAGGTTGGTATAGCTGTAAGTGATTATCAGTTGGATCGCTTCGTTGGCTATCTCTTCGTCCGGCGTTTCCATGGCGATGCGCCAAATAAAATCCATCCCTGCCAGGTCGAGGCGCTCCACACACTTTATTTATTTCATTTTTAGAAGAAATGATACAATAAATATTAACGAATATCATAATTAGACTTAAATTAACAGAAGAGAAGAAAAGAAAAAGCGAAGTGAGGACTGACCAGCTGGGTTCCCTGGCGCTTCAGACGATGGTCACACAGATTCACATTCTCGAAGAAGGTCTTAAACAGGCCGAACCCTGAGGCGAGACACAAACAGGTCAACTTCCTGCCGTGGGTGTTTCAGAGCTGTAGGGGTCGCTGTTGAGCCTCTCACCGTTCATAGTGATCTCATAGGGCTCCAGTTTCAAAATCTTCTCCTTGAAGAGCTGCTGCTGAACATCGCTCTCCAGGTCATGCTGTCCTTTGGTGAACCACTCAAAACACAACTGGAGGTACAAAAAAAATGATAATAAGGATAATGATAATATGATGTCTATAGCAGGTTTTCCACACAGTATCCATTAAAAAATAAGATTTTATTTTCAGGGTTTCACCAACTCAATTTTAAGACTTTTTAAGACCGTCATGAATGGAATTTCAGACCTATATCTCAATGTGTAGCTAACAGTTGTTAGCTACATACACTTGTAGCTAACAACAGGTAGCAGTGAGTCACAGAAGGCCATGAAGACGTCTGTGTGTGAAAACTCACATGAGAAACAATGCACAGAATACATGACTAAATAGTCCCGCCATGACAAAATTTACAATTTTTGATTAACTTATTTAACGCCTTAAAAAGAATTTTAGACTTTTAAGGCCTTAATTTTAGATACATGTATTTAAGAGTTTTTAAGGATCTCCGGAAATCCTGATTTTTCAGATCCTGTAGAGGGATTTTCATTCATCTCTGTATAAATATTTAGTCTACGTTTGCAATGAGCACGTTTCTGATCCATTTCCTCTGCCTGACGTAGGAGATGCGAGTGAGTAAATGGCTAATGTTTTACAGCATTCCTCCAGAGCAAACACTGAACAAAGGAAAAAAACAAACAAACAAACAAAAAAACAGGTGCCCGACATGACAAACAGCTGAGCACAGGGCTTCCCTTCTTCATACCTCACGGTCAAGCTCACAAACATCCGGACCCGAGACCAGGCACTCCCAGAGCTCCTTGGCTCTGTTCCAGACCAGGTACAGGCTGGCCTCCTGAAGGAAGAACGCCAGGAACCGCAGGTGGCTGTCCAGGTACTGGACACACATTTTGAAAAAAAAATTAAGAATACGTTTTCAGAAAGCTGAAAAAGCGAATAAAACCCAACGCTGACCTCCTGGTAGGTGTATCTGCCGTCCACCAGGGTGGAAGCGGACAGGCCGTTGTTCCCCGACGCGCTCACGGCGAGTCGGTGGCAGCACACCAGAGATCCCGTGATCAGTTTGACAATCTCGAAGTTCTTCTTCAGGTCCTGGATGATGCTCTGTGGCGAGGCAGACAACGGTCACAACGGCGCCGCCTCACGGCGCAGACGCGGGTGAGGCGGCGCTGCGCTACGGTACCTTGTCTTGTTTCTGGTAAGTCTGTTTGATGAAGGAGCGGGTGATTTCGTGCAGCTGCCGCAGAGCGGGGACGACCCAGACGGTTTGGGGAGTGCTCTGCTGAGAAGCCTGTAAACACACATGCAGAACGACAGGCACCACCTATGAAAACCCCGGCGACCGCAATCACGTTTCATTTTCCGTCCGCGCTTCAGGTCGGACTTGCCACCTTTGAAGTTTGTAAAATAATTTTTAAAAATAGAATAGAAATCAGAGCCACGGATACAAAGCACTAAGATTTAAATCGGTTTTTCCTGTTCTGATTGGATTACTTTCTGAATGAGCACAAAGTATCCTCCACAGTTACTGCCACCCAAAGTAAACATGTAGATTCAGGTTTTATTGCAGCAGCATTGACTCACTGTGAAGAATTTAGTTGCCTCTCGCCTTTAACTTCAATGCGTTTATTGAATGGAAAGAAGAAAAATCCCAAGTTAAGAAATAAACGTCAGCGCTAACAAACTACTGCTTCACTTTGTGGCAACTTAAGAAGTCTAAAAATATTTTAACAACTAATCACCGACGCCATGTTTCTGCGTGGGGGGAAAAAAACCTGACATTTCACGGAGGCCGTTTTCTCTTAGATACTATTCAAAATAGGAAAGACAAGAAAAACGTTCACCTAAGGAAGGTGTCTGTTGATCTTCAGATGTCAGGAGTCATCAACTCTCCACCAAAACTCCACTGTCAAATTAATAATTCAAACACCATCTCCATGACGACTGGACATCTTTTCCTGTCCTACAGTCACAAATGAAAGCATGTGGAGTTTTCTAAACTTAACGACTCTGACTCTTCATGTGACTTATACTCTGGAGCGACGTCTAGTCCGGAAAATACAGTAAGTCAGATCTGGTCAACACAGAAATTCAATGGAAAAGCTGCGGGTGAGACAGGAGGCAGGACTGGAGCATTATTACACTCACTACATTGTGTAGTAATTTTATGCTTTCCCAATCTTGTGGAGCCTTCCACTTCTCTATATTTTCCAGTGAAAAGCACGTTCTGCAATAAAAGATGAAATAACTTCAAGGTTCTTGTATTTTTAAACACGTTTACCAGAGGTTTAATACGTCCACAAAAAAACCCACCCGCTTGGAAAAAACCCCCAAAACGGATTAATCACACAGACGGCTCTCACCCAGAACCCGATCAACCCAGAGTGTGTAATCATTAGTATGTGCCAAAGCCAATTTAGTTGAGCGAGTAAAAGATCAGTGCACACCTGGTTAAATTACCTCAAGCTGCAATCACCTGTAACACAATCGAACCTGTGACCAAAGGAGCCCTTGTGTGAAAGAACCCTTCTCCGTGATTGGACGGTAGGCAGGAATCAGCCAGATTAGTGGGAACATAAATTAAATGGGATTACGCTCTTACTTTAGCCAATGAGTTAGATATCTTCTTGTGCCAAGTATGAAATGAGCTTTGAGTGTTGCTGCCTTTATCGTCCTCCTGAGTGTGATGCTGGAGACATACATTTTATTTACAGTCGGGCGTTTAACACACACACACACGCACACACACACACACACACACACAAAACATGAGCCGTATCAAGCCAGCACATGCAGCTACGGTGAGATGATGACTGAAGCGTGTCGGAAAAGAAAAAAAACACTGCATGTGTAGCGTGGAGTTTGTGGCTCGCACAAAAACGGCTGCAGGTGAGAAAGAGCGCGCTGCCGTTATGATCCGCTATAAAATTTGGTAAAATACATTAATTATTTTGTTAGAATGCAGTATAACGAGGGGATAAGTTATTATTTCTCACAAACAAAGTGTATCTTGACAGTGCAAACTGGGAGTCGATCTTAAAATCTCACAAATGTAACATGGCTGAAACAATTAATTGGATGAATCGTGATTAATCAATTAATGGAAATAATTGTCAACTAATTCAGTTATCGATTAAACATCTGTAGAGTACACAGATTAAACAAGGCCATTTTACTACAATAACAACACATTCAGAGCCGTCATTAAGCCAAAATTGTATGAAAATATAAACATTTTGCATTCAGACATAATAAAACAACACTTGCAAAATGTCTGACTTGGAATTACTCAAGTGGGATAATTCAAATCCTGCAAAAAAAATCCCTATTAAGCACCTTTTGCTATCAAATGATTAATCAAATGATTCAGAAAATCATCAAGCATACGTTAAAGGAATGATGTGTTATTGAAGTTCACAAAATAATTATTATTCTCTTATTTTAAAAAAGAAATTAAATGATTTGTTTATTTGCATCTTTTAATGTGTTTCTAATATTTTATAAAAAAGCTTAAATGAAAAATCTTTAAAAAGTGCATTTTTTTACTTGATTAATCAGTCGATCATAATAATGATCACTGATTACTAAAATAATCGTTAGCTGCAGCCCTAAAATCTAATATAGTCAAAACATCCATTAAACTGCTTTATAAGCCAGTGCCAGCATTAAGGATTCATGTTTCCATACAAATCACTAATAACTGTAAAGGTGCTAATAATTCACACAACTGTGTGACTATTCCTGCTTAATGCTACAGACTAAAACACTTTAAAAATCTTTTGTCTTTAAAAACACAAACAGTCTGGATGTGAGCCACAGTTAAAAGGGTGATGATGCACAACCAGCACTGACACACCAACTTTAAAACGTCACAATAGAGGAAACTGTGAGGCAGAATAAATAACCCAGAAGTCAGAATGTTTCACATCCGTGCCTCACCTTCTTGATGTCTTCGATACATTTAATGATGTAGCTGCGTTTCACGGTCTCCTTGACGGCGTAGGCGTCACTGAGGATCCCCAGGTGTTCCTCCAGGGCCTGCTGAACCAGACTGGTGGGCAGGGTGGGGAGGTGAGCCAGCTCCCACAGCACCTCTAGCACCTACACACCAAAAAAAAAAAGAAAAAAAAAAAAAAGAGAAAAAACACAACATGCTTGAGACTCAACAAAACACCAGCAGCTTACTCAGGGGAAATTCTCCGCACCTTTCCTGTAGTCGTTTCTGAGCGAGATTCTCTGCCTATTCTCCCGATCAAACTAAGCAGCTTTTGCCGAACGCGGTCGCTCTCCACCTCCCAGCTCTATAAAAAAAAAAAAAAAAACACACACACACAAAGGGATCGGTTGTAAGGAAACGCACACTTAAGAGACACTTTTTGTCTAAGACATGCGATCAGCACCGACCTTCTGTATGAGGACGAAGAGGTGTGTGAGCTGATCGAAGCTGAACTTCACGGCGGCAGCAGCGATTATTGTGTGGATGTTCTCTATCACCGTTGAGGACTGACCGGCCTGAAAAAGAAAAAAATACAAATAGAAAAAAAATGCATATATTTATCTTGGTTATATTTCTGGAAATAGGCATCTTTATGAATTCCAGCGTCATTCAAGCATCAAGTTATATGTAGGGATGCACCGAGATGAGAACCTGGCCTGATATCGATATCCGATAATGATGCTGCTATATCGATAACCAATATTTACTGATATTATATATATTGTATATGTTTCCCTACACTTTTGGTACCGTATAAAAGTGACTGCACCACCTATGCAGCTTTTCTGATTTATTTAATCACCCCAAAATCCTCTGATGCATCACTATGACTGAAGATGTACCACATGGCTAACCTCTAGAGGTGGTTATTAATCATATAAGAGTGTTTATCGTAAATCTTAATTAAAAAAAAAAAAAAAAACAAACATCCATGAACTCCAGAGTGATGCATTTCTACCACTTATTTCAGATCTCTTACAAGTCTTGCAAACCAAAAAGAACCAAGACTGTCATTTCTAACCTGTATTCTCCAGATCTTGGTGAGTTCATCCAGGGACAGCTTACTCCCGAGCAGCTCGATGATTCCCTTTATCCTCTCACAGTACTGAGCCTGATCAATGTTACCTAAAGCAGCAAGAATCAAACATGAACCATCAAAACATCATCGTGTTTCAAACGGCTTAAGTCATATTCCTGACAGGTTTTCAGGGGCGACCTCTTACCTTCCAGCGCTATCGACAGGACCGAGTTCTCCACGAGCCAGTCGAGAAGTTTATCTGTGTCTATGGCGTTTTTCACTGTTTTTGACACTGTACTTTCTTCTATTAACTTGGTCACCTACCAGATGAAATTAAAAGAAAGTTTGATACAACACTTTAAAAAAAAAAAAAGGCACTGAAACAAGATGCATCAGCACTTCAAACTCTAAGGAAACTGACTTCTTTTAAGGAGTTCATTTTGGTAGAGAAGTGGGGAGTTTTGAGCATTCTCAGCAGCGTGTCCAGCCGCAGGTCGTCCACCACGGCGACCAGTTCCCTCTGGAACCTCATGCACAGCAGCTTGATGGCCGACAGCAGGTCAGGGATGCTCACTAGACGCTGGGGTTAGAAAGAATTTGACCAATCCGTGAGATTTTTTTTTTTTTTTTAAATAAACCATCTTAGTTTATGGTTGTCTTGGTGACCTTTTCCCCACTGCAGTTGCGGCAGCCAACACAACACGGTTCGTAAAAACACTACCTTGTCCTTCAGGTCCTTTTCCTCCAGGTTCTGCACATATGTGATGGTCTTGTGGATGACTGGATCGAGCATGGGCTACGCAAAAACAAGAACAAGCGACTTTGTTTATCTGTGTTCAGGGTCAAGGAGCAAGCGGATGCAGCAAATCAGAATAGAAATGAATTCAGAATGGGACTCATGGGTCACATTAAGCAACGAGTAGAATAAAAAAAAAACAACAGTAGAAATTTATACTAGCAGGAGGCAAACTAATCAAAACAAGAAATAGAAAAATCTAATAGTCCACACACTATGTGTGAGTGAGTGTATTTCTAATATTTCCTTTTATTTAACCATTCAAGTCTAAGAAGTATTTTAACTTTGCTGCAACTATGTGATAGCATTCATTGTGAGAATACAGAGTACATATTAGCTCACCTGGACGAGGCTGGAGTTTAAATATTCCGCACAAACACCAAGGGGCTGGACCAGGGCTGATACACACTGAGCACACAGGTGGAAAGAAACAGAGGGGATATCAAACACACACAAATCAATAAGCAGATCAACTCATCAATACCACCTGCAGTTCAGCTACATTTAAGGTTTTATAACAGCAACAACATAAGCTGTGCTTCTCAATCCTCTGCGAGACACTTATAAAAACCACAAACAGCAAATATTCTACCTCAAATAAATGCGAAGGCCTAAAGTTGAAACTGGATTTTTATCTTGTGTTTTCACACCTGGTAGTCCGGTAGACTGGGTTCGACTGGAATCCTAAATTCCAACATTTTTTTTTTTTTTTTTTTACATTTTCAGTTTTTGCGGTTCGCTTTTACGACGCACTGTGTCAAATAAACCAAACCCTTTGAAAAAAAAAGAACTGTTCACATCCTCGCCTGTAGTGGCGCTGCAAAAACAACCACTGAAGGAAACGACAAGAAAACCTCTGAAGACATGAGCGCAACTTCCTTCCTCCTTCACGAAACGCAAACAAAAATGGATTAGCATCAGATTATTGGGGTTGCAGGATTTCTCCTTTGTCCTTGGTAAATGTGCTAAAGCTAAAATAACACTCGGTTATTTCTCGCGAGAGCGCTAGACGCGCGCTTATAAAAGCCGAGCTGACCAGAGACCGCTCTACAAGCCGGAAGTGGACTATAGCGCAGGGCATTCTGGGTAAATACAACCCAAAAATAAATACGCTCGCGGGAAATTAGCTCGAGGTCTTTTACCAAAGACAAAAGAAAAATCCGACAACCACTAAATTTGAAGCTACTTCGTTTTAGTTGACATTTTATAAGGAAATGCGCTCAGTGTCCTCTTCGGAGGTTTTCGTGTCGTTTTCTTCAGTGGTTCTTGATGCAGCGCCACATGACATAATCCGGCGTGAAAGTGAACTGCACCAGCTAAAAATGTAACAAGTGTTGCAATTTTGGTCCCCAATCAAACCAAGTCTAACAGCTGTGAAAACACCCTAAAATATTATGGCTTCCTCAAAGAGTGATGTACTGTAAGCATGTGGTTGCACACACAGTAAAGACCATACTGTGAATTTCATGTCGATTAAACCAACCATCAAGTCAAACATTTAAAGATTTTTCTTCTAGATATCATTCACTCTGTCAGTGCTTAGTCACAAAAGCATAGTGATTAGTTTCCGTTTGTCCTTTTAAAGAAATCCTTTGTAATCATAATGTAAGCAGCTCCTTGTCCTCAATGACCCCGACCCTCCATCCCACTCGACTTCCTCCTCAAAGCGGACAGATTAATGAGCCACCTCTGGGAGTCAGAAGAGGAGGGAGCTCTTCTCCCGTTATCTTTCCTCCTTTCTCTTTCAGTCTCTGCCGTCTTTGGAGTAGGTTAAGCATTCAATGGCTAACGCTCGCAGATACTCCTGAGCTCTCACCACTGCTTAAGAGTGTCAAATTAGTCCGCGTTGAGCCTTTAGCCTTGTTAACATGCCGAGCGTCTGAGTCAATTGCTATGCAAACTGCTGCGGTTCCGGCCAGGTTCTGGTGAAGGAAGCATCCGCACAAGGATGCTTTCAGAAACATGTAAAACAACCGGGCATTTCAAGCGTCACACAGCGGGAGGATGTCAGAGCAAGAGAGCGTTACTGGGAGGGAGGCAGAAGAGGCACATTCAGCCCCCTGCAGCTGAGAGCGGAGGAGGGGGGAGACATGGTGACCTTTTAAGCCATCTCCATCAAAGTCTGTCGCTCTGCATGCATGAAATGTGCAACTATTTGAGGTATTACAGTATGCAAAGTAGGGCTGGGCGATATGGTTTAAAAATTATATATTAAACCAGATACAATTTCTTGCTTTAATAAATTTTATTTTGCTTTTCTTTTCATTAAAAAGAGAAATTACAAATTACAGAAAATATTTTCAAAAAGTATCGGGTCGGGATATGAGAATTTTTGTTTACTCACAAGGCATAACATTAGCAGAATGAAAACAAAAGTTTTCCAGAACAATGGCTTAAAATAACTAGAAAAAAGTCGCTCTGGTGAGGAAAAAAAGTTCTTTTTTTTTTTTTGGAGTTCTAATAAAATTACTACTTCGATCTCCTGTTATTACAACTTTAGTCTTGTATTAATATGACTGTATTCTTGTAACATTATGTCTTCAATCTTAGCTTGACCCTTAAATTTTGTTGTAGAGTTGACCTGAATTCAAAATCCAAATAAATTGAAGTTGCAAAACATGTTTGTCAAACAAGATGGCAGCCTTTGGGTGTATTGACATCACTCTGAACTATGGAAAAAACCGATGAGTATATTGGTGAAAAAAAAACAAATCCAGATTTCCCTGAAAAAAGGAAATCTTCAAAAACCAAAACTTGGACTAAAACGATTTATCGCCCAGCCCTAATGGAAAGAAATGAAAGGAAGGGATATTCTTACAGCGATCTCGATCTCCTCCGAGCTGAGTTTAGTCTGGATGGCAGCGAATCCTCCTAACTCTCCAAACTTCACCACAAAAATAAAAAAAGAGGGGAAAACAAAAAAAAAAAAAAAAAAAAAAAAAATGAAGTAAAAGTACTGCAAAAATGTATCATTTATAAACATGGACAATTTGACATGGACAATTTATCACTCACTCGATTCACTAAGTCAACCAGCCAACCGTGGGGCTCCTGAAAGAGGAAACAAATCATGCTTTCATTCAACAATGACAGCGCAAACTCTGACAGACGGTCGTGTTGCTGACAGCTGTTGTGCGTCAGTCGCGTGTTTTCATGAGCTTATTGGCTCAGCTACTCATCACCGAGGATGAAAAACAGAGACTCATAAGGAAACTGGTGTATAAATATTCGGCCAACTTCGCACACATGCCGGTGCTTCTGGGTAAACCCTGCAGTAAATGGTGACAGAAAAGAAGAGCGTCCCTTACTTTCTGGTAGGTGTTGCTGGGAGAGACTGCAAATATGTTGGCCTCGTCTCCGAAAACTTCGGCCCAGTTCCTCTGACATGACTTCATTCGGTTCTTAAAGTGGTACTCGTTGTCGGGGTTCAGGGCCTGCTCACAATAAAACAAAAAAGACACTGTGAGATGACGTTTGGCATCTACAGCAGTAATGCAAACAAGACTCCTTGCCGATTCTTTACGGTGACATCGTACATCTACAGCTCCATAGCAAAAATTTAACAGCAATATTTTTTGATTTATTTAGCACATCATGGAGAGAAATGAAATGGCTGGTCATTTTTTTCAAAGTCATATTTTAACCGTGTTATTCATATTGCCAAACTAATTATTTCATTCACAAGCTAAGTATTTCATTTTCAGACTAAATATTTACTGTAGTTTACAAACTAAATATTTAGTTCCAAAGCAAATATTTATTTCCTGAACTAAAAATGTGATTTTCAAACTAAATATTTCGCTTGCTAAGGAGATGTTAAGCTAGCTGAGCTAAATCTTTAGGTCCAAGCTAAATATTAAGTTTGGGAAAATAAATCTGAGTTTGGAAAGCTAGTTGGAAACTGAATATTTAGTTTGCAAGCACAATAATTAGTTTCACTAACTAAACATTTCATTTACAAACTAAACATTTAATTTTCCAACTAAATATTTATTCCCCAAACTTAAATATTTAGCTCAGACCTAAATATTTAGCGAGATAAACTAAGTATTTAGTTTGGAAATTAAATGTTTAGTTTGGAAAATACATATTGTTTTTAGTTTCCAAGCAAGATATTTGAAAGCTAGATATTTATTTTAGAGCTCTGACATTTATAAAGGCACATATAACACGGTAGAAATATTACTGAAAAATTACGGCTTAAATAAACTAAAACATTGCTATTCATTTTTTACTGTGGAACTTTACAAACATTACCTCATAGTTATCAGATTAAAGGAGGCTCAATATAAAGAAATTTTTTTTTTGCAGATATTTAAAAAAATATTTTCAAAACAATTTTTCCTTTTTTCCCCCACCACTTTGTGTTGACCTATGGTATACAATCCCAATGTAACACATTGAAGTTTGTGGTTAGAACGTGATAGGTTCAGGGGGCGTGGGACAGAGATGTTCCCTGCATGTAAAACAATCTCCTGGACACAGAGAGACAGCCCACCATGGTCAGGACCCCCATCAGGTTGACGGGGACGGGGTCCTGCTTCACCCTCTCGGCCACCAGCTCCACCAGCAACATCAGCATGTTGTAGATCCCCTCGTGGATCTCCGTCCCCCACTTGTGGACGGCGCTGCTGGTCAACAGCTGGCGAGACGTAAAAACGGGAAGACAGTGTAAGTCGACGAGCGGCTCAGCCCATCCGCTCCGGCGGTCGCTCCGTTCCTTTCGCAGCTCACCTTTTTGAAGGCCTCCGGCATGCACCGATCCACAAACCGCTTGCAGTTCTCATCGGCGTCCGCCAGACCTGACGAGAGAGGGAGGTTCAACGCTCTGAATCTGAACTTGGAAGAGGAAGATATTTGGTCGGAATACGCAGTCAGCCGTGTGACTGAGCGTCCGCAGGAACGGCATGTGGTAAAAACCACCCGGCGGTCCAACGACACCATCTCACTGCCACGACGTTTTGTGCTTAGGAATGTGAAACGAGATGACCAGTGCTCTCTTACCGTGCCGTGCAAGGCAGGTGGAGGCGATGAGGCACTTGCCCAGGGACTCCTCTCTCTTGTAGGGGATGGACCAGTGATCGGTGAAGACCCGGCTCTCCAGCTCGTACAGGTTGGTGGTGGGGAACTCCATGCTGCCTCCCGAGCAGTTCCCGTTCTCGTCGTTGCTTCGCTGCAGACAGACGGGCGTGGCAAATTTATTACCAACATGCAGAAGGTGACTTTATCCCTCCACTCCTCCCCCAGAGCTCGTCCTTTCTGTTTTACGAATGTCCAACCCGCCCTCCGCGAGATGCGAGGGTAATACAAATCGCCTCTGTAGCATCTGCCCTTCATCTCTGCTCCATCTTCACGCATTTAATTAGGGAGCTTGACATGTTAATCTGCCACAACTGAGCAAATGAAGGAGAAATCCACAGAAAGAGAACAGATTATTTAGCCCTAGCTGGAAAAAAACAAAACTGAATCATTTACCTCAAAAAGTTTGCCAATATATTCATAAGGTCAGATACATATTGTCGTATCTGAGAGCAACCGTCCCCTTACTGAAGGTTTGAACTGTAACTTATTTGATCTGCAGACCCACCCGCCCGACCAAACCCCCCCAGAGCTCATCTCCAGCTACATTATAAATGAGCAAAGACTATTACGGCCTATTTTGCCTGCAGGCTTCACCAAGTTTAAATATTAATGCCGTACAACGCAGTTGGGTCAAGTCCGCCTAATCTGAACACATATCCAGATACTGGCTTACGTATTATTCAATGAAGTCCTTAGGCATAACCTTTATGCTACAGTTACTGAGGCTGGTTCAGAATCGTTAACATTTCTTTTAGCTCTGGATCTGAAGGAAGGATCTCCCAGTAGCAGTCAGTCTTGCAATGAATCTGAAAAGGCCTCTGACTGAAGACTTGCGCGACAAGACACATGACTGTCACGACATGCCAGCAGATCAGAATCAAGGCAGCAGAGACGATATTTCACAGTAATACGTCTTGGATGACACCATCAGTTGTTAGCAAGAACCGCTAATCCACCTCATTTGCTTTTGCCGCATCTCTTTAAAATCTCTGTCTAAGTTTAAGGTTAGGTTCTTACCAAAAATGTTGATGGACGAAGTGGCTTAAAGCAACCGATGACAAATAATCCTGATAATTCATTGGTTAAAATCAGCCTGTTTTATATTGTTGTTAGTTTATAAAAAGCAGAACGGCAAAAAGGAACAACATTCCGCTTAGTACGCTTTGTTTGCTTTTTGAAAACAACTTTAAAGGTTTAAGGGAGCCAATCTGTGTTTGTTCATGTCTATGAAACAGCATCAAGAACCAATTGCCGCTTTCTTGAGAACATATTATATCAATTTTTAAATTTCTCTAATAACGCCAAGTCCATAATACATTCGCTCACGAGAATCTCTTGCCGGCCCGGTGCCCGGCGGTCAGTGTGATCTCGCGTGCATCAAAAGCCGTCAAACACGTGACAGTAAGGCGATAGGCCGCACTTTAAGTCTAACAGGAGGAGGCGAAGTGCAGGGAGCAGGAGGGAGGAGGATGCAACCGGAGATGCATCGTGTTTCATCCTTTCCCCTTTCTAGGAAAATTAGATATACGACAAGCAGATGGATGAGAGGTGGAAATAGCAGGAAGACACGGTTAATAGAGACGTTCGGTTGGAAATCCGATGGGAGAAATGTGGCAAAGAAAACCTGATACGTCTGAGCAGGAACAACACATGACATCCCAATCAGAAACGAAATGACCAACATATGTTTTTTGTAACACCTGAAGACATAAGCAGAGTGGAAGGCAAAATGTGTATGTGTGAGTGAGTGTGTGTGGTTGTGCTGGGGCGAGCGGGTAACTCTGCCCCACTCTGTTACCGTGCGCCCACAGCCCTCTTGGGAACTCTGCGCAAAAACTGCAGCATGTTTGTGTGTGTGTGTGTGTGTGTGTCGTAGCGGCCGAGGGAGGAACTATATTTAGGAGCGACACACGAGGCCACAGACCAACCGCCGGTCTGTTACACATAAACACGGCAACTAAGAGAAGGGGGGGAATTAATGGCGTTCGTCCTTTGTGTTATGGCAAGCGCAGAACGTTTCACATCTTCAAACCTCACACGGAAGTGACTTTTGATGAGTTCCCGTCAGGAAGTTCTGCTCCAGAGGTGTTGTGAAAAATTAATATGTCGTCACAGAGTCCTTGGTTGTTGATGTGCCCGGTGGTTAATGCCTCACCTGGCTGCCGTGCTTTAAATCGCTACACGATAAATGGAAAGGGTTTCTGCAAAGTTCGTCCTGCAGCTGTTATGTAATTAATCCGAGTTTCATTATGTGTATGTTTCACATATAACACAATACTGAAATTAGCTTCTGATTTGCCAGCGAGGTAAAGGGCTATTTCACAATTTATTATTATTATTATTTTATTTTAGCCATCTGGACCAACTTAGATCAGTTGGGTTTCACATTTTTTACTCATTCAAGAGTTGTTCATTTTCAACTGGTTCACCCAATTCAGATTGGTTATAAGGGCAATTTCTAGTAACTGTGATAGTAACTTTAATTTGTAACAACATTTTTAAAAGGAGCGATGATGCTAAATCAGACTTAGTTTAGGAATAGGAAAGCAAAGACATTTTTTGAGCTTAATAATAATAATAATAATAATAATGTACAAAAATTAGGGTCATATTTAATGTATAAATGGGAATATTCTTGCAATTTGTTCATTTTACAATGGATTCTGGACTACTACCACTGACAGATATCCTGCTGCAGATTATTATTATTTTTTCATATTGGAATTAGCAGGTCAGACCTAAAGAAAAATAAAATCAATCTATCTTAAGTCATAATCAATATGTAAAGTAGACTTTTTCCTTGAACGCCTTAATATTATCTGCAAGAATCACTTAGCTGCCGATTCCTAACCTATGAAAGCACAGACTTTGAAAGAGCATACTCATTCCACAACAGGTTTTCTGACAGAGCAACAGGTCAAAGGTCAGGCAGCAGAGGAAACACAGCTATGTATTGCTTTAGGGGTCAGTCAAAGCAATCCTACTGTGCTATGCTGACAGGCGCTTTATGAGAGGCCGGAGGATTTCATAGCTTTCGCAGCACATAAACACAGCGGGCTGGACGAAGTTAGGACCCGTAAGCAAGTATTATACTGGCAACCAGTTGCTGCTTCTATGAGAGTGATCACTCATAAGAACATATGGATCTATACACAACTATTACCAAAATGGCACCTTTGCTATAGAGATATTGCGAAACCGCTTCAAAGTCAAGTTAGAGAGAAATAAAATCTTAACAGTGGTCGAGCTGTCAGACAGTCTCCTGGTTAGAGGCAGATAATACGATGCAAATCATTTCAACAGTCTAGATGACAATCAAATAACCATTTTAAACCAGAGCTTCCTTTAAACATCTGTGAAAGTGATGCTTTCGCTGCTGCTCCAAATTACTGGCGGGTTTCACCCTCCAACTTAGCTACAAGAAAAGCTACTAGCTAGCTAGCTAGGCTAGCTTGCAAATTTGAATTTCTCATTAAGCTTTAGCAGTAAAGTTCCTAAACATACTGTCCAAGAGCTCCTTTTGTATCAGCATGAAGTCCTAGCATGTCCTGTCTGTGTGGGACTGGTGGATCATTTTCTCCCTGACAGCTCACGTTAGGGGTTGCTGCATGTAGCCTTGAAGCCGCTAAGTTGAGCTAGTTAAATGGGCGAGCCTACTTTCTGTTGCAACTTACAACCGACCGTATTTCCTCACTCGCTCCTGGAGCCGATGCGTGTTGCGCTTACCTCGCCTTCCACGACGTCGTGGTATGCTGGGGGGGGATCGAACCCACTAGTCCCAGTCCTCCCGCTGTTTTCCCCGTCCCCACTGGAGCCCAAGCCGGTGGAAGGCCCACTCTCCATCGGCTCGTATCCATAGCCGAGTCCGGGGCTCTCGTTCGTTAGAAGCGCCACTGCCTCGTTGATGTCATTCTTTGCCAGCCGGAGCGCTTTCCGTATCACGTCAGGATCTGGGAAACCCATGCAGAGGAGCGTCGTTATGTGCTGCTCCTCTTCGGTCTCCATTTTCGGGGTGTCTCCGCTTCCCACACTAGTTGTACAGCGGTGCTCGGCACAGCCCTGTAGCTGTGCACGCCGCCATGTTTACAGTCCGCCGCCGCAGCTAGCCTGCCTGTCACGATTTGCTTCTCCCAGAACAGCGCCGACACAGGTGATACGGTGAATTCTGCATTCCGAGAACTGCAGGCTGGCCACGGGAGCGCGCACACAGTACTAGATGATTCAGTGATTTTAACCTCGTTATTAGTGTTTACCGTCTGTGCGGCTTCACCTGGAGGAGTTATGTTTGGAAGTCCATGATACATGAACTTTACTTTTTTCAAAAGATGAACACAAGTCAATAAGCCGCCCTATATTATTATTATTATTATTATTATTATTATTATTATTATTATTATTATTATTATTTTAAATAATAATAGCAAAATTGCAACACAATTCATCACTCTCCCTTCTCCTTCTACTACTACTACTACTACTACTACTACTACTAATACTACTACTACTACTACTAATAATAATAATAATAATAATAATAATAATAATAATAATAATAATAATTGAGCATAAATCATTTCCGGTGTGCCATTATTTGCTAAAGTGTAAATAATGTCAAATGTATTTTTTTAAAAGCTAATACTACTTTTTTGTTTTAAGATCTTTTGAGGAATCCCCAGCTGATCAATGAGCACCATATATTGATTTAAATAAACAAATTTTAAATCTATTTCTGCGAGGTATAAATAATTTTGTAATTGTGAGAAATCAAAAAAATTGCAATATGCTTTACATTTAGAATTTTTTAAAATTCTTTTATAACTTTTTTCATACTTTTTGATGCAATGAGTCCCCTGTTTTCTGTATAGAAATTGTTCTACATATTTTATAACTCTACTTGAACATATGCAGGTATGTGGAAATGCAGCATAGATTTATAAGATATTTAAAATTAAATTTGAAGGTATTTTTAAATTTTTCCACAAAAAAAGAAAAAACCGTTTAATGCAAGTCATTTGTCCATCTTATTTTTAGTAAAAAAAAAAAAAAAAAAAAAAAATTTTTAAAAAGT